TCTGCTTTTGCTTTTCTGGTCCATTTCTCTGGAACTCTCTACCTACTTCTCTGACTACTTCTCCATCACTTGCGAAGTTCAGAACGGATCTCAAGACCCATCTGTTTTCAAAATTCATTGAGGAGCGCTGTTGAACATCGCGGAAATAGCGCTTTATAAGCTAATTGATTGATTGATTGATTGATTCTTAATTTGTCATCGATATAGTCATACATCATAACGGATATACGCACACACGCATTTACATTTTAAAAAATAATTGCATAACCGAAACGAAATGAAATTTAATTTGAAAAAGAAAAATTTTAAAAATATTTCGAATCTTTAAATCTTACGAAGGCTTACAAATGTAAACATCTCGCGATTATGTTGAAGATTGAATACAAAACATACAAATATGCAAATCCAGGTGTGAAAAAATGCATATACATACATAGAGTTTTTCTTGATTTAAACTTCAGAAAACATAAACATTCAAAATTTAATACAATACAAATCTATAAATTACAAACACATTCTCATCACATGAACACAAACTTATGAATACAAACGCAAATACAATAGCCACAATCAGAGCTTCAACACCCACAACTATAACTATTACAACCACTTACTACAACCACAAATACTACATCTGCATCGACTGCAACAGCTTCAACATCGACAATTTTTACAAACTTATAAGGAATAAATCATCTTGGACAATGCCGTCATTTGCCTAGGTTGTATCGAATAAAAATAAATAAATCCATGCCACTTTCGTTTAGGGTACAGTAATGTTGTGGCAAAATTTTCTATTTCTCTTCTTTTCCATTTCCTATTATATAACTTCTAATAACTTAAATTTAAATTTAGCTAGTACATAGGTACTTAGTATCAAAAATTAAATTTAAATTTAGCTAGTACTTAGTTTGCTAGTACTTAGTATTACAAATCAGTTGCTGGTCAAAAAAACTTACCTATTAGTTTAAATTTAAAATTTCGATACTCTCATGCTCGCGTAAACAAAATCGTTTTAAAAATTGGAAAGAAGTAGAATGATCTTTTTTGCACAAAATTTTTTTACCAAATTTTTTTTCTCTAATCTCAAAATTTTATGATTAAAAAAAATTCATGAAAACGTTAATTAGCGTTTCGCAGCATAACCTATGGCTTAGATGGAGTTCATGATGTTTTGGGAACTACTCTAACAAACTATCAATCATGTTTTTTGACCCGCCCTCTTTCTCTCTCTCTCTCTCTCTCGTCATCTTTTTTTCTCTGTCTCTTTTCACCTCTCTCTCTCTCTTTCTCTCTCTCTCTCTCTCTATCTCTCTCTCTCTCTCTCTCTATCTATCTATCTATCTTTCTATCTCCCCACATCCAATTTGTATCCATATCATTCACCGAATCTCTTCACTTTGTTAGGAACGACTAAACTTATGAATACTTGATGGCTAATTCTGTTGTTGTTGTTGTTTTTGATCAGATTGTTTGTTGTGCACGCACGTTAACGTGTTGGATTTTTTTATTTCTTTATATCTTCCACTCTTTCTCTTTCTCTCTTTCTCTCTCTCTTTTTCTCTCTTTCTCTCTCTCTCTCTCTCTCTTTCACTCTCTCTTTTTCTTTCTCTCCTTTTTTCTCTCTCTTTTTTTTCTCTCTTTCTCTCTTTTTTTTTCTCTCTCTCTCTTATTTTTTCTCTCTATCACTTTCTCATTCTATTTCTCTCTCTCTCTCTCTCTATGTTTTATCTCTTTTTTTCTCTTTGACAACAAAGTCATTTGACATCAGTGACGTATCATGACTTCTATCGTACATCTTCATCGTCGTCATTTTGTAATCCCCGTCTAAGTCATCAGCCATCGTCATCATTCTTATGTCATCGTCGTCCTAATCATTTAGTCGTTGAATACAATCATTTTTAATCACACACATTACCTAAATCATTTCTGAGGTAGTGGCTGGTGATTATTTTCAGGATTTTTTATAAGACGTCGTATATTGCACGAGCAAAGTGTTCAAGAACGATTAAAGGTGTGTGTGTGTGTGTGCGTGCGCGTGTGTGTGTGTGCGCGCGTATTGCAGACTGTACGCCGAGTCATTAATCTTACAGGCTTCATTATTTTGAGGGAATGATTTCGCTTCATGAACGAACCCCGCGGAATATATTGTAAGATTTCGTGATGTCAATTAACTACACAGTGCTTTGTAAGGTTTAGGTGAACGTCACTTTGCGATTTGGTTGCTGTAAATCGTTTATAAAATTAAACTTGAAATCGTTCTAAAAATCTCAAAATTGAAATTTCTCCCAAAAATGAGTATCCCACATTTCAAAAATTTCCAAACTTTGAGTGCGATTCGTACGTTTCAATCGTGGGTATAAAATTTCGTTATAAATATTTTATTGGATTGTACGTGTGTGTGTGTATGTGTGTGTATGTTGTGTGTGTGTGTGTATGTGTGTGTATGTTGTGGGTGTATGTGTGTGTGTGATCGCTCGTGTGTTTGCGCAAAATTTGCAATACAGAACATACAGGATATTTGTGCACATGTATATTTACGTTTAACATTTCTTGTTCATTTATCAATCACTTAATTAATATTTAATGAATCGAAATGTTTATCAGAGTATTAAAGAGACATCTACGCGTGTGTGTGTGTTTGCGTTTGCGTGCGCGTGTAGATTTGTGTGTGTGTATGTGTGCGTGTATGTGCTTGCGTGTGTATGAGTGTGTGTGTGAGAGAGAGAGAGAAAATGTACTCAAGCGTGTATATATATAACTTGTTTACGAGTGTCGGAGCAGAATCGATGCGAAAGGTCTTCTCATAGCATTGCTGTCATCACCATCGTCCTCGTCCTCCTCATCCTCATCATTGCTATCATCATCGTCAACATTTCCTCCATTCTTATGTTGTCATTATTATCAGTAATGACGTCATCATCACCCATGTTATCATTTGCTATTACCATTTTCACCATCGTCCCCGTCTTTCTCCATCGTCCCCGTCTTTCACCATCATCGTTATCTTCCTCTCATCATTTCAAAACTTCTATGCTCAAATCTTGTTAATACTTCTTTATATTATTTTTTTTAAGGTATGAGCCACAATGGACAAAACGGTTTCGAATCCTGTCACTGCAAAACTATTGCCAAGCATCTTAACAACTAGACCATCGAATTTAGACCAAATTATAACCATATAATTGAACAGGAACAAAAATAGTTACGGGATTATTATTAATAGAATGTCGTTTGTCTCTAAGAAGCACTGTTTGGTCTCGCCAAAAATGCTCATATATGCAAATAAATGAACTGCTATAAACAGCATTGGTATCTAGTTATTGAGATGTTACTATGTGTGTACGTGTATACGCAAGGATGTGCGTGTGTTTGTGCGTACGCAAGTATGTGTAGTGTGTGTGTGTACGTGAGTATGTGTAGCGTGTGTGTTTGTGTGTGTGTAAGTGAGTATGTGTTACTTTGTGTGTAAGTTCGTTTATCTGTGTGTGTACGTTAGTATGTTAGTTTGTGTGTAAGTTTATATGTATGTTTGTGTGTGTATGTTTGTGTTTGTTTCTATATGTTTGCAAGTGTGCTTAAGGTTACGTGTATGTGTATGCAGGTTTGCATATATATATATATATGAATTCTGTACGAACAACATGTAAACATGATGAAAATCAAGAGACGAATGAATGAAAGAATGGTCTGAATAATAAATTAAGAAACAAAATTATGAGCGAACGACTGAACAAACGATCAAATGAACAAACGATAAAAAAACGAATGAATGAATGAATAAATGAATAAATGAATGAATGAAAGAATGAATAAATGAATGAACGAACGAACGAACGAACGAACTAACGAACGAATGAATGAATGAATGACTGAATGAACGAACAAATGAATGAATGAACGAACGAATGAAATGATGCAAAATGAAAAAATGAATGCAATGCAATATGAGATATTTTCTTAAAAGGGGATTAAATGATGAAATGAAAAGGACAAAATTTTAGGCCGAGGCAAGTTTAAGATAACATAAATATAGAAAATTATTTCATTATATATTATAGAATAATAAAATAATAATCTAATATTATTATTATTATTATTTGATTTTTTTTAAATTGTTTCTTAAATGATTGCTCTGTTTTTTTCTTCATTTTTATATCTATACTACATATTTTACTATAAAAATCCTCGCAGAAATACTAATTTTTATTACTTCGGTTTTTAACGTTCACTCATTTGCTCAATTACTATTTAAAGATTGTGATATACTATACTTATGATGATACTATCTCTTTAATATTTATAAATTTCTAAGATTTTTTAATGTCCAGTAGTGATACTATTTCCGATTTCATTGTTTCTTTTATATAGTTTTAACTTTGTATTTTTATTGAAAATTTCATTTTAAATATCATTATAAAAACAACATACAAAGAGAGAGAGAGCGAGAGAGAGAGAGAGAGAGAGAGAGAGAGAGAGGGACAGTGAAAGAGAGATATTCTATCTAAACATCAGCCGGACACAAAAAAAATAACAACAGTAAAAACCAGCGTATAATAATCTTTCAAGTTACAAACTGAGAAGATCCAACAACAAAAATGCAACTAATTTTCGTTTGGAAACGAAACATTCTTCAGAATTTTTTTTCACTCAAAGCTAGACTCAAAAGTATTAAAATTTTCATCTTAGTTAATAGATGCAGGCACTAAATATTTTAAATTTTGTATTATCTCTCCGTGAAATTAAAGTTTGCATGAGTAGATTAATGAGTAAATAAATGAGTGAATAAATAAATATATATGACGAAAGATTGGTTGAATTATTGAAATTTTACAAATTGTCTTGAAGATATGTTTTAATTCAGACCGACTGAACGTAAGGTAGGTAATGTTTAGCTCTTACTTTACAATCTTTTATTGATATTTCATAATAAAAAGAGTATTTTTTCAAAATACGTGTCAAATTTTATTGGCCTAATCAGTTACTTTAAATCAAAGTTTTTACTGGCGGTTTTTGTGAAATTTTACTCTAAACTCTGCAAAAATATCATTTGTGAGAAAAATTGTCTTATGGTCATCTACTTTTTAGCTAAACCTCTAAGAAATATATTTACCAAACTACATAAACATGGATGAAAAATCATCTACGTATAATATAATTTCATATATTGCTTATTATTATTATTATTATTATTGTCGCTATTGTTATTTTTGTCATTTTTTATCATCACTGCATGTGTACAACATTGGGTAATTGTGATTGTAATTGCTTCTTTGGCCGTGAATCAATCCATCATAGGCTCATCAATCTGATATAGCTTATTCATTTGTTGTGCTGTTCATACATGCAAACATACGTACATACATACATACATACATACATACAAACATACATACATACATACATACATACATACATACATACATACATACATACATACATACATACATACATACATACATACATACATACATACATACATACATACATACATACATACATACATACATACATACATACATACATACATACATACATACATGCATGCATGCATACATACATACATGCCATTCTGCCTATGGCGAAGTCTCTTCCCTTGGCTACCACTCTTGGGTTGTAGAATCGTCCGAGGGTGTACAGCAGGGTGATCCCCTTGGTCCTTTGCTGTTCACACTAACTCTTTATCCACTCTTTGAGAAAGCTTCGTCCACTTTCGTTTGCGCTTATCTGGATGATATCAGCATTGCTTCGGACGGCCCATCTCTGGCCGATAGCTACGAATATTTGAAGCATAACTCCGCTGCAATTGGTTTAGAGTTAAACATTAAAAAATGCGAACTTCACTGCCAAAGTTTATTTCAGGTGCCACATGCTCTGGCTGGAATACCCAGAGTTAGTGCATCAGAACTGAGTTTTTTAGGCACACCCTTGGTCGAGGGCGATTATCAAATAAAGTTTTTTGACCAAAAGGACTCTGAGCTTAAATTTGCCCTGGGTCGTGTTTCCTGACTTTCGGCCCATGATGCCTTGACGATTATCCGCAATGCCCTCAGTTTGACCAAATTGATGTACTTCCTGCGTACATCCAAACACATTGACCCTTCTAAATTGGGCGAATTTGACGGAGCCCTGTGCACCGCCCTGTCGTCGATTTGCAATGTTCAAGTGACCGACAGTGGTTGGCCCCAGGCTCAGCTGCCGGTGCAATTTAGTGGGCTGGGGTTGCTTAGCGTGGTTCAACTGGCTCCCGTTGTTTATAATTCTTCTGCCGCTGCCACTCTCGACCTGCAGTCTTCCCTGCTCCACCGGTTTTTTCGTTGCCGCGATATTCTTCCCCCAGTGTCCGCCCCGGGGGACCGTACGCAGGTCCAAATTTTGAACGAAGAATATAAAAAAATCTTTCAAAATTTGTTGTCTTCATGCGGCGACGACTTTTCCACCGCTCGTTTGTTGGCCATGTCCAGCGTTGCCAGCTGTGGGTGGTTGAGATCGTGGCCCAACACCTCTGTGGACACCAGGCTTGACGACGAGTCTGTGAGATTTGCCATTGGCTTCAGACTTGGCCTGGTCATTCAGAATAAATACACGTGCCGATGTGGCTCAGGGGCGGACGAGTTTGGGCACCACGGTTTGGTTTGTCGCTTGGGTGGGGGCCGTCAATTACGTCACTCAGCGCTAAACGAATATATTTGTCGGCTCTTCTCAAAGGCTTCAATCTCGGTTCTCAAGGAACCATCCGGCATTTCTGCGCATGATGGTAGGTGCCCGGACGGATGCACACTAATACCTTGGAGAGCCGGCAGATGTTTGGCGTGGGATGTTACGATCCCTGGCACCCTCGCCGAACGATACGTAAACCTGACAAGTAAAGAATGCGGTTTGGCCGCGGCCAGCGCAGCGGACGAGAAAATGAAAAAATATGGGAACGCCCTCCCCTCGATGGAATTCTTGCCAATATGTATCGAGGTTCTCGGCCCGATGGACCCCAACACCCTTAAATTTTTTAAGGCAATATGTAAAATGATCAGCGTCAGATCAGGCGACAGCAGGGAACTGTTTTTCGCAACTAACCACATTTCATGCTTGTTGCAGCGGTTCCTGCGTGTCTGTGTGCTTGAAAATACATACATACATACAATCGTGCACATACATACAAGAAAATAAGCATACATACATACACACATAGATACAAAACTCTATACAAACTTCATAGCAGCAAAACCCCCATAAAATACACAAAAATACAAACATACAAACATAAACACACCTCGCGTAGCGTACACTTAGATACTTGCGCCAATTCATCACCCTATTTATGTTATCACTTTCATATTACGCTTGGCATGTGTCGATGATGGCTTGCCTCCGCGTATATTTTAATACGATTACAAAAAAAATTATCATCAGAGATGTTTTTTTTCAGACAGAAATTTCGGTAAACTGTTTTGTGTTAAGCATTTAAATCTCTATTAAAGTTAGGCGATTAATTATTTAAGGCGATTAAAGTTTTTTTTCAGACAGAAATTTCGGTAAACTGTTTTGTGTTAAGCATTTAAATCTCTATTAAAGTTAGGCGATTAATTATTATTTTCTTGATTTTTTTATCGTTTTGCTTGATTTTTTTAAAAACATGCGGATTAAATTAAGACTTTAAATTCTCAAAGAATTTACAAATTTTATTAAAATAATTATATCGATATGATTTTTTATTTGTTTTTTTTTTTAATTATTTTAGATGTATAAACCTAAACAGCTTATTTGAAATCAATATCTTGCTTTCCAACTTGGCCTAAACAAATTTAATAACCTAAATTAAAAAACAATACAATAAAAAACATAACTTAAATTTTTTAAATCAATAATTTAACTAATAATAATATGGAAAACAAGAAAAAACGAAAATAATAATAATAATGTTAATAATATAAAAAAAAACCTAAAAATCATATATTTAAAAGAACATTTTTTTTAAGGTCCCATGAAGTTTCGCAATCAGAAAACCCAAGCCATCGATCAACAATCACACACACACACACACACACACACACACACACACACACACACACACACACACACACATACACACACTACCCGCCCACACACGCGCACACACGCGCGCATACGCACGAACGCACGCATACACACATACGTACACACAAACACCCACACACACGCATTATCGTGATGGTTACAAATGGTTCTGAATTATTCATAAATGCTTCCGAACTTTAAGTTAGCTTTTTCGATTGGTATGATTAATCTTAAATTTTTGTTTTTTGAAACTTTTTCACAATTTTTTTCTCCCTATAAAAAAATATGTCCTCAAAGTGCAAAATTAGTTTTTTAAAGTCAGTTTCTTAAATTGATCAACTTAAATTGTTACAATTCAATGAAACATCATAAAAACCTTTTTACACCAAAAATCTAGTTCAACCCGACATGAAAAAGAGCAAAAGACAAAATCATTTTAAAAACAAAACTGAACGAACGAAGAAACATCACAAAAAAACCACCAAAACTAAAACATACAGAACGCGCACCTTGTAGAGCAACAGACTGCCCGTTGCATTAGATTTATGCATTTGGATTGAATTTATTTGCACACAGAGCTGACAAAATATAGCCTTAGCACCGCTATAAATCGGCAGATCACAAAAATTAACTAGAAACATTTTACATTATATTGCCTTCTGTTGTTTGTTTGTTTGTCTGTCTGTCTATTTATTTGATTGTTTTTCTGACTGTCAGTCTCTCTGTCTGTCTGTTAGTCTGATTTTTTTGTTTTTTTTTACGTTTTAGTAGAAATAAAGAACAAATGCACACCGGCTCATATTAATCAAAACAGCGTTTGATTGAATCTAAAAAATATTAGCAACTTTTTTTCTAAAATTTTGGCGTTTTCAGGCAATTGTCATTTGATAATTGAAAAGAAAGGTGTACAATTAGTTCAAAAACACTTTCCACGAAGTGCCATAACTAAAATTTCAAAAAATTACTTTTGACACGGAATTTTTTTATAAAAAATTTGTTGATTGTTTGTTAAAAAAATGTCCATTAAGATGAAGTCATTTTATTAATTATTATGAATTATATATATAAATACAAACAATTATTAATGTGTATATATATTCACACAAACACACACACACACACACACACACACACACACACACACACATATATATATACAACACAGACTTAATCATATATACACAGACACACCTATAAATATTGTTATACTGCTCGCTCTTCACCGTTCTACGACGGTTACCGAACGAACAACGTAGTTGGTTCTTGGGGATATTCTTTCTGTTTCTGTAAACTCGCTCGCTCAACGTTAAATAACTCGATATTTTTCAAGTATATAAAATAATGAGATGACTTTAATTAGCGACCTACGTGTGTTGAATATTAGTTAGTGTTTTAAATATTACAAAGTTTTATAATCGAAATCGAACGAGAAACGACTCACCCATTATTGTTAATATTATTTTATTGTTTAATATTATAACAAAAGTTAAATTGTAAAATTTAATAACTCTTGTAAAGACAATCAAAGAGTGTTCAAATGTGTTAGGGTGCGTTGAGTCTTTAGGAGTGTTTGAGAGATAACTAAGATAACTCTCAACTCGTATGCTCGCCTGTTATATACCAGGAGACCTTGCTACCTTGAGTTTAACTAGTTGTCTAACTTCTTCTAGCCAGTCAGTCTACGGTAAATTTGCTGTCTCGTCGGGAACTTAATAATCATTATAATTACATACCTACTTTAACACATATCTATATACAACCTATATTTACTCATACCTCCTAGCCTAAATTAACTTCTACGTAATAATATTCACAGAGTAAAGTTCTCAACATCAAATAACTTCAGTAGCATCAAATTATGAAACGTATCTCGAGTTATGAGTTTTAGGTTTTAGCACTATGCTGTTACATCTAAATATATGAGTACATCTACACTACAAGTTTGTATGTGCAGTATATATAGTTTTATAAACTCATTTTTATATAAGGACTATGAAATGGCGTTACTCTTGTTCCTTTTTGTAAATTTCTGTCAACTGCAAACATAAAAATTATGAAAACTGCAAATGATGATTGATGTTTGGTGACATTTTTGTTGCAGAAATTGACACTTGTACATCTGCCTTTTTTGCTTTTATCTCGTTTGCGTTATGTTTGTGTTGTGTTTTTTTATAATTTTTTATTTTATTATTTTACAGTTATTTTAGCTAAATAAGTAAAATTTATTGTGGAATTAATAAAAACAAAAATCAAGCAAAAATCTAAAACAAGACTGATCATGAAATGTAATTAAATTTTAACGAAAGAAACAAACTTGCAAATAAAAGTGTATATAAATGTATGTATGTATGTATGTATGTATGTTTGTTTGTTTGTTTGTTTGTATATATGTTTGTTTTGTATGTTTGTATGTTTGTATAATTAATGTAAAGTCAAAAGTAGTTATGGGTAGTTATAAAAACGCCGTATAGAGCGCTTGCAAAATCCCTATTGGAGAATTATAGCATCGTTCTGGGGACATTTTGTGTCGTGTTTGCTTGAATAAAAAAAATTGCTATTTTAATGTGATGATGTTACAGAAATAAAAGTCTTTACTTATTCAATAATTCTTAAAGAATTGAATATCGTTCTAAAAATTATTCATTCATTTATTCAGTTGTATGTTTATTCGTTCTGGCATTCACTCGCTTATTAAATAAATTAAATTAAATAAAAAAAAATTAATAAATAAATAAATTTACTCATTTATTTTTTTATTTATTCATCCAATTTATACAGCAGCGATGACAAGTAATATGTATCAATGAATTTTCTCAAATTGTACATTTCTTAAGAGTGTTGGCATATATGTAAGTAAAGTAAGCTGCATCTGAAAAAAAAATTGTTCACCCAAATGAACGAACTATCGATGGAAGGATAGCTGGAACGAACGAACAAATGAACGAACGAACAAACAAAGGAATGAATGAAGGAGTAAATAAATTATATTATTAATTATTTATCTAAAAAAAACATTCAAAAATCTCGATACCAAACATATGTTGACTAGTTTTCTCAAAAAATCTTCCCATAACTTATTTTAATAGCCAAGATATGTCGCCTAATTTTCAAAAAATGACACAAATTTTAAAATGTATAATATACATTAAAATTTCATTGAACTACCATTATAAAAATTGTGAGTATAAATTGTTCTATAATATAGAGATAGTATAATAGAGGAATAAAATGTCAATCAATCGATCAATCGATCGATCAATCAATTAATCAATCAATCAATCGATCGATCGATTAATCAATTAATCAATCAATCAATCAACCAATTAACCAACCAATCAATCAACTAACCAATCAATCAATCAA